CCCCCCCCCCCCCCCCCCTCCCTTCCGATGCTCTCCCTGTCCGTGCCTGCTGCGTGTCACCCTCCTCGCGGTTCATGTCATCAGAACTCCGGCAACCGAACGCCTTCTCTTCGAAGTGACGGTACTTCCTTCCACGAAACGACTCGACGGCAAGACTCCGGTTCGACCGCAAGAACATAACCCTAATCGCCTGAAAGCTCCGGCGGGGTGGTGGTGTCTCGAGCCGAAGCGTGCTCCCTTCCCGACCAAAAGAAAGCCTGACCAAGGGGCCCGATGGAGGAGACAAAGATTAGTGGTGATAATAACCCTGGCGCAGGGGGCACCGCGGCTGACCCCTCGTCCCCCTTCGCCCCCCACGCCGCCGGCTGCGCCCCTTCGTCTCGGTGAGCAGCCCTCTCGGTTTGTTTGGGCGTGTGTGTACACACAAAGGTCGATGGTGTTGTTTCGTTTTTTCGTATCCAATGGGTACAAAAAAATTAGGATGCCGTTCTTGGGTAAGGTAGCCTGTGACCACGGGAATCAACTGCGTCAAGCGTTCGGCTAGTACGGGCAGGAGAAGGTACTGGGTAGAGAAAGCGGAACGGTGTTGAATGTATGTGAAGACAACAACAGCAACGACAACAACAATAAATGTTTCTCGGACGAGCGTGAAGCAGTCTGCGCTGTTCAGCCACCAGGTCGGAGGTTTCGGACGGCACGTTCGCGTCGTTTTACCTGGGAAGGGTTATTGGCTGTACAACATTAGAGGTCCCTGTTTTAGGCCGGTCGCCCTGTTTTAAGCGCCGGGTGCCCGATGAACGGCCGGTGTTTTCCCTTGGACCTACAGCGGCCTTCAACGGGTACTGTACACCTGCAGCCTTACCTGATCACCCCACATTAGCCGTTGTGTTTTTCTCTCGTGTCACCCAGAGGCCCCGGACCGGCGACGGACAACAGCGAAGAGGAGATCGCCCACCTCATCAAGAAGTGCGACTGGTGCGCGGCCACAAAGGTACTGTACAGCGAGCGCCCGGGCTAGAACCTCTTTTTATTGTTTCTGCGGAGGCTGGGGTTCTTACCGTATTCCTGGGGTCATGCTACGAATGGTCGCTATGTATGGTCCGTTCGGGCAAATATTCACAATCTCGTTTTTCGCGATATCTTTCGAAAAAAAACGATTTGGAAAGTGAAAGAACTTTGGGCGTGACCGCGGCGTCGAGCTTCGTCGATGTCCGATGAGTTTTTGGTGATTGGGGAAATGCGACATTTTTGACCAAAATGACCCACGGAGCCCCCACCCCCTCATGACCCCACGGAGCCCCAAAGTACACCACGACCCCCCCTCAACCCCTCCCTTCTACACGTACATGCGTTCAAAACATCAGTTAAACCGTTGTCAATCCATATTTACATTACTTACACGTTACATATGTACATACATACAATACCGCCGTTTACTTTCTACTCAACCCCTGGCTGGTGAAGGTGCTGCAAACAAAGCATGCAGCAATCACATTCCATTCTCTCTAAGCAAATCCGATACCAAGAGAGACAGCTATAGAGTTTAGTTGGTGACCATGACGAACGCCTCTACCGCGCCTAACCGCGAGAAACCAACACTACAACACACCGCGACATATAGATACGTACCCTCCCCACT